TTTCTCCAAATCTGTTCTGATGAAGAAACACACTCATCTACATCTGTTGCGCTCTAACGTCTCTGTGTAAATCACAGCTTTGTTTTCTTACTAGTAGCTTATTATTTAGGATTCCCTGATTTACTTTTTATTGTTTTGTATCTTGATTTTATTTTTATTTTTTTCCCCCAGGTTATTTCAATTATGATGAATTCTCTCTTTTAAACAATAATTTTTAACACATAGGTAATTATGGCATTCTAGATGAGTATATTGTGTAAATGAGAACTGTAAGTATTAGGCATCATCATCATCAGACAGTTACATTTGGAGATCTGCAGATGAAACTTTCTGAAAGCTCTTAAGATGCTTTCAGATCTGCTTCATGAGAGAGCTATCAGCTTACAGTGCATTAGTTCTCTACTTTGATACGTCACCAAGAAATATGGTGCTGTTGATCAAAACTGATGTCAGCCCAACTAGGGTGGGCGATATATTGTGTATTCATGGTTTTATTTTTCATATTTGTGTTGATTTTGCTGGCGATATAAAATGAAAATTATTTTAATTTTCACAATTTCACAATCTATCCTTTCCTTGTTTTATATTGCATTATATAATAAAAATGACTAATAAAATATTATTATAAAATATTATTAATTTCAGTAAAATTCTATGTAGGTAAATGTTGTTGTTATTTGTTTGTTTATTTTCTATATTGCCCAGACCTAAGCCCAAGTTTTTAAGTTTAAATAAATACTTTATATGCCTAAATACTGGTCCTTTTGTTTTTTTGGTTTGAGATACATAGCATGCATACATCTCGCAAGTCATTCATTTTCCATTTCATAGCCGACCGTTGAGTGTACCTCGACTGATGTCATACATTTGGATGGTGTTCAGAGGTCTCACACTGTTCCGCACACTGCACGCCTGTGCTGATAGCCTGTGTCCACTGTGTGGCGCTGTGCTGTGTGTCCTGTGTTGAGTGCAGAGCTGCAGCTGGTGGTGGAGCAGCACTTTCAGAGGCAGGAGCAGCAGGAGCCGGGGCTCTCTGACAGCCCAGACACGCCCAGTCCAATCACAGCACAGCATTTTGCCAACGAAGCTCAGTGGGCCAATCACAACAGCTCAGAGCCCAATGGCAATGAGACTTATGTCAGTACTGAGGGGCAGCCAGGCAGCAGTGGGGCCGGGGGTAAGTCCAGAACAAAAACTGGGAAGCAGTGGTAATATCGTTGCTTTGAACAATATATAGGTAGCTAGGAAAGTACATGTAACAATCCCTCACTTGTAATAGATAAAACAAATACAATAAACAGATCAAATAAATCTGTGCAGAGAATTATGGAGGACCAATGTACTCTAAATTAAATAATGAAATCAATTAAATAAATCATTAATTTATTTAAATGTATTATTCAATGAAAGCCTTTACAAAACTACTGCATTTAAATAATACTTTTGAAAATATTTTATTATGAAAAATCACTCTGGGTCCATAAATTCATGATTCGACAATAAGGATTTGGAAATGAAGTCTGTCATTATTAACAATCATATCTAGTTCATTGAGATACTATTGCTTATATTAATATTTTCAATCAATTTTTATTTTTTAGTTAAAGTTATAGCATTTTTGTTGTAAGTTATTTTAGTACATCAAGTTAAACTAAATTAAAATGGAAAATTGTCTTGGCAACAAGCTGAATCTATATTTATCTATTTAAATAAATACATAAATAAATGAATGAAATGCATTGGTTTATTTTATGCTGTGGTTTTATGTAAGTGGATGTCATGAAAATGTTTTTATCTATCATCTATCTATCTATCTATCTATCTATCTATCTA